CATCACTTTCACAATGGAGAAGGAAATCCACAATGAATTGCCATTCTTAGACGTTTTGGTGAAGAGGACCGACACTAAGTGGGAAACATCTGTATACCGAAAACCCACTCATACGGGACAGTATCTGAACCACGAATCCAACCACCATCAATCGACAAAAAGAGGAATCATCAAGACTCTATTAGACCGTGCTTTTGGGCTCTGTAATACAAAGGAAGGTCTCGAGAAGGAACTAGACATCATCAAAAATGATCTTCAGCGGAATGGATACTCCAAAGCGATATTACTTTATTATATAATTGGTAATTATAATAACTACCTGTCGAAGTTTGTCTCCGAAAACCAAATTGACTGGGATAAATTGATTCCTCTCTCTCGGTTGGCACACAGGAGCTCTCAACATGATGCGACGGGTTACACACCATCCATGTTGTTCAACTGGTAGAGAACTGAAGCTTTCGATAGATGTAATATTTGGAAGTCCATCCGATGAATTTCAAGAGGTACCTCTTTCAGAGTATGTGGGTGAGACCTGAAAGAGAGACTGGCAATTGTACACAAATCTACCAGATCCAAATAACAGCTTTTCAGCGATAGAATGAAGATATAATTCGACGAAAAGTTGCTGCCGGTGACCTTCAATAAGGGACCATGCAGTGTGGCTCTACCAACCCGAACGTCGAAAAGGTTTGGGTCCCAAATTGCAGAGACCATGGCGAGGACTTTACTTGGTGACCAAAAAGATTAACGATCTGGTGTTCAGAATCCAATTGTCACCTAGATGCAAGCCTAAAGTTGTCCACGTAGAGAGACTGAGTCCTTGAATGGGTCGTTATGTCCCCTCAGAAAAGGGAGTAGTGTTGTAAATCGTGCCTTAAGGAAAATAACGCCGGCCGTCACTGGTAGCTATAAATCAATTGTGACGTTGCCAAGACCGCGTCCAGCCTGACCGACGTTTTACGGTTGTTCAATGTTCGCGCCGTTTCGATGGAATTCTGCCGAATTCATTATCAACGTCAAGATAATTCGTTCACCGTATATAAACGCCACCCACTCGCGTGTCAATATAGTTGAATATAGTCAAGTTGAGTTGAAGTGTTTTGTTGTATTGATAGTGGAATAAAGTTAAGTTTGATTATTGTTCAGTGTAGTCATTTATTGGTGCACCCACGATAAAAAACATGGAAAAAGACATAAGCCTAGTGAACCATGTGAAAATTTATTGAATTTTGAAACTGACAATATTTGAAGACATGTTTATGTTCACTCAATTCGAGTTTTTGTTTTGTTCAGCTGAAGTTTCATTTGTCGTAGACGTGCAATGAACCCCCTTTCTTCAACACAAATAAAAAATATGATAGTTGGAAAAACACACACTCAAAATGGGGGACTGATGTTCTTTTTTGCACCAAAATGCGCTTGTATCTACAAATGCGCATAGATGACTGGGATCAGCAACCCTTTCCTTAATCACCCTTTCATTTGTTTCATTTAATGTGGATGATAACAGAGTAAAATGAAAAATAATAGAGATATTATTATCGCCAGCTCATGAAATATGACAATGTTAGGAGCCCACTGTGATTTTCATATTCCTTCTACGATTCATCAGAACTCAAAAGTAATTCTTGAAAAGAAACGCCCACAGAGTATGGTTTCCAGTTTCCATATGGAAAATTATTTAGCAGTTCTCATTGATGACACAAGTGACACAACCGTTCTGTTTCAAAAGTAACCAACAATACATTTTTCAGATAACTGCTGTCAAAAATTCTAGTTAGTAGCAGTTAAGAAGTGGTTATTTCTGGAACATATTGTCACGTTTTACCTGTGGGTTTACCGTGGGTTGACTACACTGAACAATAATCAAACTTAACTCTATTTCAGTTTGAATCCAACAAAACACTAAAACTTCAACTATTATTCAAATCTCTATCGTCTTATTAGATCGCTTTGCGTACCGCACTGTCACCTGTTTATATTTGGAAATCGAAGTCCGTAGAAAATTCATTGGAATTCCATGGAAACCGGTGGCATTATTCCCACCACGTATAGAACGGCAGCTAACATTAAACATTCGCGAAAAGTAGGTCGGACTGGCCATGCTCTTAGCCACGTCACAGTTGGACATGATTTACAACAATACCATCATTTATCGTTACAAAAGTAACCATCATCAATTGTTTTTTTGGTAACTGTTGTCAAAAATTCTGGTTAGTAGCGATTAGGAAGTTATTATTTTTGACAAATTGAACACCAACTACCTATGGTGATTGATATTAATGAAAATTACACAGAGTAGTTAACTCAGAAGAAATGCACGTTCTGCAAATCAAATCCTTGGTGATATGGACTAAAATACATACAATGGAAACGACCTTCAAACAACGAATAAAACACGAAAATGGACAAACTCAAACTTCATCTACACATGCTAGCTATGATAATTGATAGTAAGAATAATGTTAAGATATGTTCCGAAAGTAAATGTGGTTTGGTGGTTCTGAAATCGCCAGTATTGTGATACTACTGAAAAAAGGGTTATACATGAAACACGGTTTCCCGAAAACTGGTGAACGTCACGTCACTGATGATTATGTTAGAGTGACAGAGACAACTAGCATATGAAGGGTTTGAATTTGCAATATTTGAATTGGTGTTTGTTAAAAAGTACAAACTGCGATCACTTTCATGTTGTTTAGTGAAAAACACAAAAAATATTCTGAACCAACTAGTTTTTGTAATTGAAGAGTGAAAAATATAAGAACAATAAAATAGTTTTCAAATTTTATCCTTCATATTTTCTGAAAAAAAGGTTCATTTCATTGCTGGTAAACTTTTAAACTAACAAAATTCAAAGACAACTTATTTCTGTTCTTCAAATTCAATTTATACATCCTGTTCAGATGAAGTTCCATTTATCGTGGTGCAATGGACACAGATTTCCTTTTTCGGTCATTTGAAAATATGGATGGAAACACATATATACTTATTATCAGAGAATGTGGTGGTTTTTCACACCAAAATGTTTTTTCACCCTTAGAGAACAAAATGGCATTCAATTAAAAATCACAAAGAAATGACTGTTTTCTTAACAGAGTGGAGTAAGAAATACGAATTAAATGTCGTTTTCATCACACAAGAACTCACAGTGCATGATTTTCAGTTATCACTTCGAACATATAATTTAAAAGTTGACTTATAATTAACAAATTTGGAAATTGACATAGCTGTCTTGTTTCAAAAGTAACCAACATTTTTTTCACATAACTGCTGTCAAAAATTCTGGTTAGTAGCAGTTAGGGAGTCTATACTTTTGGAAAATATCTTCATTTATCGTTATAACAATTACACAAAATAATCAACATAGTATAAATATATGTGCTACAAGGTGCTACAAATGAATCTCTCAACAGATATCACGGAATACCTTTCAGAAGGGACACACAACACGGAACAGTAACCATGTACTTTTTGAGAATCTTGAGGTGATTACTGTCAACCTAAAAATTTCACAGTGAATTTGAACACAGTGAACTTGAACATGGTGAAATTGAACTAATTTGGTTGAGATCGTCGAAATATTGGCCTAACAACCTGCCGAAATGACATCGTAATAATCGTTCGACTGTATTGAAATTATATATCTGACGAGTTTCAAATACTTATCTCATTAAATACTTTGAATACATAGTATAGAAAGGTATTTTCTGGCGTTCAATCGTATTAGAGCATGTATTCAAAAAACGATTCGTAGTGACGTCATTAATGATAAGATTCGCCAGAATGAACCGATTCAATTTGTGTCAAATGTTAAATTCAATAACAAAAACAAACTTTTGAATTTTATCTAACCTCAATTAGAATCAGATTTGTGCATACAATAATTTCCTAGCTTTATTTTATACATCCTTACAACGCATTTGATAAAAAGAATTCAGCGCTTGATAAACAATAATGATTGAAATAACGTAGAAACTGACAACTAACATTTCAAAACCAACCTCATCATGAATACGTTTCAAATCATAGTTGATGTGACGTCATCGTTTCAACGCCAGAATGAATGTATTTAATATTTAATCACAGACGAATACGTTTTGAATACATCAGCGCCAGAAAACGACTTTTAGGTCACAGGAAATTGACTCCTCAATATCAAATTGCCGCCAGATGAGTGTCTCTACTGTAAGGTAGTCTGTGCCGATATAGTGAAAAAGTTCCTACGAATCTAAAAAAAACCTTTTATTAAAATTCACCAATCAAGTTTCTGTACTTTTTTATTTTCAGTCATTTTTTAACGTAAAGCTTATGGATGGTACGAAACAGATAAATAGGTCAACTTACCCACACGACTACTGGTGACAGTGGCGTGTCAACATCAAATAAAATGAAGCGGAATTTGAAAGCTTCAATTAAATTCTTGAAAATGGTGTTGAATATTTTTTTATAATCAAACTGAATAATTCTTTTTGTTGATTCGTTTCATTGACGATAACGAAAAATTGAAAATGTGATACATGTGTCAACTAGTTATTGAAGAATTTGGTCCAGAATTCCTTGAGAAACACCACTGTTATTGACATTAGAGAAATTGCCAAGTGTGTTGTGTATTTTCCCTATGTTTTCAATTTTGAAGATTATTTAGTTTATGAGATTATAAGTAAATCGTTGTTCAGACTTTTAGTGACCAAAATATACGTTAGAAATGTAGTTAGTGTCTAAAATAGCCACGTATTTGTTTGTGCGGGTTTGTATGTGGTATGAGTCGAAGATAATTGTTTTCCTCAAACATAAACATGGCTGCTCCTTCATCTTTATATTCATTGCCAAATAAATGGAATTGAGATTCATGAAAGGAAATCTACAGACCAGTATGATTTCTCAACGCCCAGGTACTTCATTGCATATATTTACAAATTATTTGTGTCTATGGTTGATCCGAATTTTTCATAGTTATTTGAAAGTGGATGTTTACAAGTTGAATCAGGTCAATTCCACTTTTCCTTATTTCAAATATTATTTTTCTGATTGTGAATAGCACATCCGAAACCTGTGTTGAATCACGATACTTATTATTAGAATGTGGTCAAAAATAATTATATAAATTAGTGCAAGTTCATCTACCTTGAGGAAAATATTGATATTGACAGAGAGTAATGAATCCTGTACTTATAGTTATTTTTTCATGAATTGTTATTCTCTCAATATCAAATACACTGTAGTACAGATTAAGTACCATCTGCGTTTTGTTGTCTAATCAGAATTGAATTTAAATCAATTGAAACTGGAGCAAATTTAGTAAGCACTCAAAAAGTTTCATTATATCCTGAAAAACTGGCCATGTTTCAAATGAAATTCATTCAAAATTTGATTATACTCACAAAACTCGCCAGCTCAATTGATAAAAGCTGCTATGTTACTATCAACTTGGAAACATTTATTTGTTAAAAGCATTTTACGCGATTACCAAATAGGTACTTTTAACATTACAAAAATTGTTGTTATAGTTCTTACAGATGATAATTCCTTTTTGCATCTGATTGAATTTTTGGCAATATAGAAAGATAACTAAGATCATTAACACTGATTAACGGAAAACAGATTTTAAAACAGATCAGATTGGAGGTAACTATGAAGTCACAAGGTGAGATACGACTAAGAAATCCTTTTTTTTTTTTTTAAGACAACACTTTCCAAATAGCAATTTAAGGTGAAATCAATTGACTAGCAAAAGTAGTCAATTATGGTAATATGTGCAAAAGAGATAGATCTTTTGAAGATATAGAGCTAACAATCCAGAATATCGAAGTTCATAAAATAAGAAAAGTAACAGAATGTGTAAAACTTTTATTCAAATAGCAACAACAAACAACTTGATCTTTACAAAGTCTTATAAAAAGACCAACTACTGGTGGGAATGTGAGCTTTCTGATGCTCACGCTTTCTGATGCTCACATTTTCTGAATAATTGAAATCATAAATCATTTGAATTCCATAGTCAAATCAAATTTCAGTAAAAAAAACAGTGATAAAAAAAGTGAGTAAATGGCAAATCAAAAAAACTGGAAGAGAAATCCTCTTATCTCAAATTCAAAAAATATTAGAAAAACCCTACCACTACGGATAAAATATCGGGAAAAACGGATAAAATATCGAGATTTCCTCTTCGAACTCCGCAGACTCTATTCAGATCACTCTGTCAAGATGGTCGTTCTGATTATTGGAGTCCTTGGTGGAATGATGTCTTCTCTACTCTCGAATCTCAAAATCATACCGGCTTGCTGCACTAAGACAAAAATCTTAGCCGCACAGATGCAGAAGGCTGTAATTCTTGGCTCACTGCGTTTGCTCAGGGCACATGATTCTCGGACCCAATGATCACTTACCCCACGGTGTGGGGAGGGCCTGACCAGCGCACACTACAGTGAAAAAAAAAATAATAATAATATTTATTCACGTAGGAAGCAAGAATACAGAACAATGTAGTAAGAAGATGAAGGTGAATAAATGAGTACTTATCGAGTACTCATGTTTTTCACACTTGTTTCGAGAAAATACAATGCAGTAAAAATTAAAAATAATAAACATACTGACTAACAATTGCGGAAATATGAAAAAATCCAATGAGTATCAGTCTGAGTAAATCTAAAAATAAATATTAACAAATCATTCACACACACGCATATAAATGTGTAACTATAAATTAATATAATGGTTGATGTGAGATGAGTGATATAAGATTGTTTGTATGACATTTAAATGACGCAAATGTTATAAGTAGTGTGTTGGAAATTATAATAAATGAATAGGGTAAAATGGACAATCCTGATGCTTTGAGTCAATATTGCAGTTGTTCTTTTCTTCATAAAGGAATTTAAATCATTGCCTGGATCCGATGATAAAGTATACTTAGCAACGATATTTATAGAATTATAATTATGAAAGCAATTTATATCGTTAATATTGAAAAAAGGTGCTTCAAAATGGGTATTTTCGTTAATCAGTCGTTCCTATACAAATGAAAATTGAAAAATTGTGCGAGCTTAGGATCATCGAGGCCTTACTTTCAAACATACGAATCTTAGAATAGTGAATTGAAACTATTAGAAGTCTCTTCTTTGTGTAACATTTGCACAAATGACCATTTCAGGACTAGTGGTCCTGCATTTCCTCAGCTCACGTAAGTCTCCTGAAAACTTGCAAAAGTTTTTCGGCGGGGAAGCGTGTTGATGACACAATGTTTTGTGAATGGTAATTCATACAATTCAGTTTGTATTTGTTTTTGTAACCTCGCTGTATACAGTTAGAATAACAAAAGAATACAAAATTGATGATATATTATTTGACAAATTAATATAGGTGATAAAATTCACCTATATTAATGATCATAAATTTCAATCTCAAATTGGGAACGGGTTGTTCTGTTGATCTGCATATTGGAATATTTAATTTGCCAGCTGTCGAAGTTGAAAGTGAAAGTGCTGAAGAATTTTATAAAGTCACATTTCAAAAAAACGTGAGTAATAAGATTCGGAGCAGTAGCCACATCATTTCATTTTCATCACTTTGTTAGCTTATATCAAACGTACAAAATGATGAAGCATATTGTATTCTTTGGTTGTTCTAACTGTGAATAAAATCATTTCCATCATCTATTATGCCAATATTTACATAAAAAATTATCACATTTTTCACAATACCTACTAAGTTAGTCTTCATAGCAGATAATCACAGCCTTGAAAACAGTGTCATTTTTATGAGAATAATGTTATTACATTTTTTCAGGCTGTGTCTGCACGTCAGGCTGTAGTCTGGGCAAACTATGAACTTATTTGGTTGCCTGTTTCCATGTGCCCTGCAGCACAGTTGGTGGAGCTTTGGTGGTGAGCAGTGCATGTCAGACGAATTCACACACAGAATGGGAGTGAATGCATCTACATCACCAGCCATTGATGCCAGTTTGGTTTCTAGCCTAGGAGGAGATTCATGCACTTCTGCTTATAGGGATACTATCGGGATGGTTCGGTAAACATTTTTTTTATTGATAATCTTTGAAATGCAGGGTGATGCAAATTATCAAAAATGAAAATTTGATTCCTTGCATCATGTGAATATTATCCAATTTTTTGTAGTATTTGATGTATTGAATAACACTTCATTGTGAGATTTTTCTGCACATTTCACAAACGGCAACAAGTGGACTTTTACTACCTAGTTGAAGACAGATAATTTTAAATAAATTGAAGGATGTAACCTTTACTTCGTGGTAGGAAATCATCATAAAAAATGAGAAATGAAACTTTCTGTTTTTTACTACTTTTATTTGTAACTAACGTTACTGCAGTTTCATCCTATAAGGACATTTTCAAACTTATACATGAATATGAGTGTTAACCTTTCTCTTCCAAATGTATCATGTCGTAGTTGTGATTGATATGACCCTCTGGCAAAAGATGTTGGATTGAACTTCACATTCAAGAAACTACTCCTATGTTCTTTTACTTGTCCATAAAACTACTTCCATGTTCTCTTGGAGAAAGTTCCCCCTGTTGACCAATATCAAGTCACTACCTGACACTGAAGTTATTTGTTTTTAATGAATGTACTAAAATTATCATTTTTTTTTGTAAGTTACATCCAAGACAAGAAATAAGCAATATTATTGCTTGAAAAAACCCACCTGAAATAACTACTGTCAAACACATGTGAGTTCAAACAGATATCATTCATAGGAATCCTACACAACATTAGATATGAAAGAGCATTGTTGGGTAGTGTTCCATCTATTTTGAAAGTAGTTATTTTGGATGGGTTTTTTCTTTCAGCTTGTATCTGAATGAAACTTTGTGAATAATTTATTGTGAAGTTAATTAGCTTATTCTAGGTCAATATATTTGTTAAGAAAAACGAATTCATCTGTGCTGATGTATGGAAAGAAATTATACGGTTAAAATAGAAAACTGAAACAGAAAGACAAGCTCACTTTATGTAGCACACAACTTGCTTTCAATGCTGCATTCAGTTATGATCATTAATTTGATATCTTCGTACTGGATGACCAAAAAATTTATTTTATTTCAGTGGGAGAATAAATTTATATCCAACATATTTCTCATACATTGAAGAGTTTTTAGACGATACATTGTAGAGAATTTTAATCCAATTGTATGTATATTTTTCATATTTTGAATTGTATATTTCTGAATTTTTTTGCTTTGCGACTGGTCCGATAATTTTTTTGCATGTATCTATATATTCTCTCGTATCTGTAAATTCTTCAGTGATGAATAAATAAATTCTGAACTCTCAATCTAACAGTTCAATCTGCCATGTCTCTTGACAATAAGCAAATCTAAGGATACATTCCTCTTGTACATTGTGAAGAACTTCTGGGGTATGTCTGTTGATCATGACTCTTATTAGATTTTTCAACTGGCCTGTCAAATCTCTTAAAATCTGTTTTTCCGTTACCCAGCTGTCGCCCCTCCTTTAACGACAACTCTTAAAAGTCAAAACTTGTACGAGCTAAGGAAACAAAGATCAACAGGCGACCTTCTATTGTTTGTCACCCATATTTGGAATAACGCAGTCGAGAAACATGGAGCTTCAAGAGCTGTTGCGCTTGATATTTCTAAGGCCTTTGACCGTATGTGGCATGAGGATTTGCTGGCCAAATTTCGATGCTATGGCTTGTCGAATAATTTCTGTGTATGGCTTTCCAGCTTTCTGAAAGAACGTTCCCTGCAAGTGGCCGTCGACGGATATCTCTGAATACTTTTACCATAAACGCTGGTGTTCCCCAGGGATCTATTTGGTCTCCAACCCTCTTTCTATTGTAAATCAACAACTTATTGGAAAAAACCAAGAATCCAGTATATTGCTTTGCTGACGACAATACACTTGTTTTGTCATTCCATTGTGATTCCAGGACATGTGCGGCGGATACACATATTCACCATTGCATATCTTAATGAGGATCTAAAAGTAATTTTGAATTGGGGCGAAAGTAACCAGGTTCAATTCAATGCCACAAAAACTCAGGTAACGGTTTTCTTCAAAAGGATAAATGTCTCTGAACCGGATATAATAATGTCAGGTCAGACAATTTCACCTTCTACTTCGATGAGTTTGTTGGGGGTTAAAATGGACACCAATATGTCTTGGCACAATCATGCCGCTGGAATTGCAAAAGCCACTTCTCAAAAGCATGGAACACTGTTCCGAACCAGAAAACTGTACACACTTCAGCAACTTTCAATGTTTATAAAGCTCAGATCAGACCTTTTTGGACAATTGTTCTCATGTATGGAGTTTTGCCCCTAAGCATACCCGGAAGCTGCTGGCTTCCATCCAGAAAAGAGCCATCCGCCTGATTGGAGACGCGAACATCACTTGCAACCTTGATAGTCTGGAATACCAAAAAAAGGTTGGAGATTTTTTAGGGATACTTTCACAGAAAGTGTTCAAGTGACTTGGCACATTTGAATCCACCAAGAGCGGTACACATCAGAAATACTTGACGGACTGTGGCTGCTCATCGTTTTGACGTTCAACTTTCATTTGGAGAATGTTTTCCAGATGGATTTAATCTCCAGCAATTCAAATCCAATTTGAATCACTACTTTCGCAGAGGCACCGATCTTAGAGCGCCTTGAGGATTTTCCCATAGTGCTTGTGTATTGTCCAAAAAAAAAAAAAATTATTTGTTTAGCAGGCAAGCCTAATATACAAAAAATTACTAATTTATAAATATATTACATTATTAAACGATGTAAATATAATGAACATTTGAAAGTACATTTAAAGGAAACGTCAAAGAAACACCTACAAAAAAATACCAAATATCATAATGAGCTGTCACTAATATACTTCTTTAATGATGACTTAAANGCAGAATCTTCCAGGATTGGCTCACCTCAAGTAATTTATTCGTCCTTCGAAGTTTGATACCAAAACAGTTATTGGACTATAGTAGGGATGAACTACGATGTCTGATAGGCCTTCTCAGAGGTCACTGTCATTTGAATCATCATATGCAGAGACTCAGACTGTCTGAAGACAGATAACCATGAGGTTATCGAACATGGGTTCGTCTAGATAATTTTTAATGAATTCAATATTTTTTACAGAAAATGTTTAAGTTCTTATTTCATTACAGAATATCAGGAAAAAGATGATTTATACATTCTGCATCTGATTTTATATCTCCAGATAGGGCAACATCAGGAGTGTAATTATTGGCAAACTTTGTGTTGACCATTGAACTGTAATTCAATGAAAAAGTCTACAGCCTGCAATCTGAAATTGAAATTTTTGGATGCTGACTGTTCAACTTTGAAATTTTCATATATAATGAAAGCATGAAGTTTAGTACCAACATAAACATTTTCGAGTGTAACATGATTGCTAGAATTATTCACATCAATGATATCTATTTGAATTTTTTCAAAATGATCTTTTTTATAAAACACTTCAATATTCGAACTTTGATTATCCAGGTTGGGAGCCGTGGTTCAATAGAGAGATTACCTCTGTATGTTTCACCCATAATTACGATGGGCATCTTCAGTGGTGGTTGGCAGCAATGCCTTGCAACCTCCTTGTTGGTAAATTCGTTAATGACACTTTAATATTATTTCATGGAAAGTTGATATTCTATTGAGTATAATTGGCAATTTTGGAGATTCTGACTGTAACTCCACATTTACTTTAATAATGATTTCCAGACTATATGATAGAAACAGTAGATATATTTTATACTCCTGGTTATTTAAAGAATTTGAAATACTTCTAGCACTGGGTGAATTATTCCCCAATGTTCTTTCTGGAATAATAAAGTTAATGAATTCCAATGTTCTAAAATTCATTCCATTACATCCTAAAATGTATAAACATTTTGAACAAATATAGTTTAAAACATATATCATATATCAAGCTAGTTGGACTAGAGTAAAGCATTTTATGTGGTTTTTTTATTTGCGAATGTTTGGCATTCTTCTAGTTATGCCATCTTCTTACTGCTATGAGAGAAATAACTGTGAACATTTTCAGCAAATTGTTCAACAGACTTTGGTACATTTTTTTGCAGTAGCCGATACACACAAATGAAGGAGACGACACATGCAATTTTGAACGTAAATATGGAAATATGTATAAGGATTTTTCTCAAGCGTACTTGCGCTCCTTGCAAAATGCCACAGGCATTGTCTGAAGCAAATCCAATGATATTTTCATAAGAACAACGAGAAAAATGGAATAAACCTCAGTTATGCCAACATAATGTGACATGAGTTTTGTTCTTTTATTTAATATTTGTTTTTTTGTGGGAGGAGGGGTGGTGTGATTGAATCTTCAAAAATAATTTTTATATCAAAAGGAAAAATTCAATATTTGCGCGTAGTGTATTCTTTGAATTTGAAGTAGATTCGAAAATGATTATTTTNATTAATTTATTTCTTCCTTTTTTTTGAAAGTTTCCACATTTTTTGTTTGATGAGAGAGAATTAAAAAGCTGAATATTATTTTTTATTATATCGATGAAATAACATCATCAGCATTACCAATGGTAGAAAATTGCAGAGTATCTCAGCACTGATAACTCCATATTATACTTTATTTAGGTCTCGACAGGAATATGCATCCATTATTTGGATCCCAATTATAATCGGTACATAGTTTCCAGTAAAAATGCTCACAAATAGTTTATGCTTCAAGATTCATCCTGTATATTTACCTTCACCTTATTAGGGTAAAACAATAACTGAAAATTACTGTTCGACGTTACTGATTATTCTACGAAAAAATTATGGAGGCAACAATAGAGGACAATGCCCCTGTATACACATTTGATGTTGCCTTGATGCTAACAATTCGTGATTTAGGGTTCAAATTATTCACTTCACTAGATCTGGCTCTGTCCAACTATCAAGTCTTTCCTCAACTGAAAAAAAATATGGGTCATACATTTCCTTCCAGCAAAAAAGGTGTGTGTGAATTGTATCCAAATAAAAGAAGATTACATTGAATAACAAAATACCTTGGCTTTCAAATTTTGTTTGTTGCTGATGGGAATTTATAGACTTCTATTTTCTCATTTTTATTTTTCACTGTACATAATTTATTATTGTTGGGCCATGAATGAAATCATTATTGTTATTACCTATTGTTTCAGAGAAAGAAAAAAGAAAGTAACAGGATTTGCAACTTTGAAAAAGAAATTCATAAGAAGGAGACGTTCTTCGAAGGCATGTGATCATGGTAGAATGCTTAGGGAACTGGTTTCGGATTGGAGTCCTTTGGAAGTAGCTGCACTGTTAGGAGAATATGAGGCGTTAGCAGCTCTAAAAGACCTATGTGTTCAGGCAGAACTGGCCAGACCACCTGCCGCAACTTTCAAACAAGATCTCTCTGCATTATATGATTTCAAGTATTGTACCGATGCAGATTTAGTATATCGAGGAGCATGCTTTCCAATACATCGGGCGTTACTTTCCTCACGGTGTCCTTATTTTCGGGATCTCTTATCTGGATGTCCTGGATATGGTGCACGAATTTGTTTGGAGTTAAGAACAGCTACAGTTGATGTGCAATTGTTCTCTGCCTTGTTAAGATATTTGTATACTGGTGATATTTGTCCTCATAACACTAATATTGATATGAACTTGCTACGAAGACTGAGGGAGGAATTCGGAACTCCCAATGCTCTTGAAGCTGATTTAAGATATTTACTTGAGACTGGTGATTATGCTGATGCGGCTTTAGTTTTTACTTCTGATGGGTCGGATTGTCAGAGACCAGACTCCGGAAGTTCAGAATATGGATTCAGGCCAAAGTTAGAGTTGCCTTGCCATAAAGCTATACTATCTGCTAGATCTCCCTTCTTCAGAAATTTATTGCAGAGGCGATCAAAGAGTGGAGAGGAACACACTGAAAGAGCACTCCACATTCCAACTAGGATTGTTTTAGATGAAACTGTTATTCCTAAAAGGTAAAAATGAAATCTTCTTATATTAGGTTAAATCTAGAATATAAATTTTGTATAATATTTGGGCAATGTTGGTTTTTTATGGGGATGAACATGTGCGAAGAAAAATCTTAAAACACTAAGAGAGAGTGCCTCTCTGCGAAAGTGTCAATTTGTTTCGGAGTGTGAACACTTTGATTGTTTCTCAAAGAACCAGGCAGCTTTTTGAATTCCAGTAGTCCTCTGAAAAACATACTATGGCTGAACTTGAGTTCCTCCTGAATACAAGGAAGCTTATATTGTTTTTAGTGCTATATTGCTGGACTTCATTGTTGACTTTAATTAAATTATTGAAATATCAAGGTTGAATACCCTTTATTATTTTGAATATAAAAACGATAGTTGAATAAAAAGATCTATTTGTGATTGATAACCATTGAAGAGAATCAAGCATAGTCTTTATAGCGGTAAATCGATTGTATCTCAGAATTATATGCATACCTCTGTATTTCAGTTTTTGTAGTTGACCTAGTTTATTTTAATTGAGAAGATACAATAATGCAGCACAGAGGTCAATATGTGGCTGAATTATATAGTTGTAAATTGTGACTTTTGACTTAATACTAAGATGTGGGGCCACTCTTGAAAAAATGGAAGATTTTTTGGATTTTTTTTTTATGATATAATCAGCTTGACTGAGTGTCAGTGTTCTATCAATCATGAAACCTAGATATTTAATCTTGGTAACAATTTCAAGATATTCATTTCCTATTTTGATGTTCAATATATCAACTACCTAGTTGAAGAC